TTTAGTAAAAGGTAGGCAGCCTGTTTAGACTTAAAACTTTTTTAATATTAAAATCAATCTATACAGTAACAGCAGTTGGTCAAGATTGGAGTACATCCTTCAAACTGTTTTTATTTTTTTTTTAACTTATTTTTTGGGATACCAAGGATTGAACTGAAGGGCACTCAACCACTGAGCCACATTCCCAGCCCAATTTTGTATTATTAGAGACAGGATCTCACTGAGTTGCTTAGTGCCTTGCCGTTGCTGAGGCTGGCTTTGAACTCATGATCCCCCTGTCTCAGTCTCCTGAGCTGCTGGGATTACAGGTGTGCACCATGGCGCTCGGCCAAACTGATTTTATATGCCAGCATTTCAAACTGTTCTGTAAGCACAGACAAGTTAAAATCAAATAAGGATCAAACCATGCAGACCTCAGTTCAACATGTCAACATGCTGACCTTCTTGTACTTCCATTTCCTCATTCATTTAAATGTTTACACTGCATTCCATAAAGCTTTTGACACTTCTGTTAAAAAAACTCTAGAAAGTGAATGAGTTAAAAAGTCACTGTGCATCCATCCTTAAAAAGGTTCAGCACAATTACTATGTGACCTAGCCAATTCCAACCCTAGACAGCTGCTCCAAGAAAGTTCATACATGTCACACAAACACTTGTGTACAAACATTTATAGCAGTATCATTCACAACAAAAAGTGGAAACAACCCAAATTCCACCACTGATTGATAGAAATAAAATGTATTACATCCATATAATGGAATATCAAAAAGGGATGTAGTACTGATTCACACTACAAATATCGAACCTTTGAAAACATTCTGAAAGAATCCAGACTACTAAAATAGCCCCCCAAAAAGCAAATCTAAAAAAAAAAAATTATAGATTAGTGGTTTCCAGGGTTGAGGGGGAGTGACTGCTACACAGATACAGAGTTTCTTTTAGGGGAGATGGAACTCTCCTAAAATTGATTATAATGATGGATGCACAACTCTGTGAATATGCTAAGTGCTCGTAATTTTGTCACGTGTGAGAATTATCTCAAAGTCATTATCAAAAACACAGAAACCAGTGTTTTTGCACTCAGTGGCAAAGCCTGTAATCCCGTCCCAAAATTTGCTCCCTCTAGAAGCTGAGGCAGGAAGATCTTAAGTTTGAGGGCAGACTGTGCAACTTTGCAGACCCTCAACAATTTAATTGAGACCCTGTCTGGGGGGGGGGGGGGAGACGGCGACACTGACACAGCTCTAATGTAGCTCTGTGGTAAAGCACCTCTGGATTCAATACTCAGTACCCCACCCAAAGAAAGAAAGAAAAACACATACAAAAAGATGTCTGAAAGGATTTTTTTTACAATAACAGTGTGATCCTCAAATTACATATAATTGATATCCAATAAACACTGGTTGATGAACACTTAAAAAAAACTATACTTATCAAAACAATGTTATTATACAAAACCATTGTCTTGCACACAGTAAAAATCTAGTTATTATATAGATGAGCTCACTGCATACCCACAAATCATAATATTAAAAAGAATGTGCTTTTTTTTAAGTGACCATGTTTTTAGTGACAACATGGAATTCACATTAAGAAATTCTATCCATACATGCCTGGGTTGAACTACAATCCAAATTCATTCATTACACATTTCAAATTGCTAAATGGAGGGCTTCACTCTATAGTTGAGTGCTTTCCTAGGTAGGATGTGTGAGGCCCTGGGTTTGTTCCCACGACAAAAACAAACAAATAATTAAATAGCCGAATGAGAAATGTACAATAGTCAGTACATAAAAGCAACTGCATGCCACGCTGCTGACATTAAGTCTACAGAAATACCTAGGGACCTCAATGTTATTTTAAAGCTCATATTCCTTATTAGTCACTATTGATCAATTATGTCCACTAACAATATTTTTAAAGGAATAACTTGCATTTTGTAATATGGACATGCCAAATACTTGTTCAATTATCTCTTAGCTTATTCACTCAAGAATTTAAGATCGGGGGCTGGGGATGTGGCTCAAGTGGTAGCACGCTCGCCTGGCATGCGTGCGGCCCGGGTTCGATCCTCAGCACCACATACCAACAAAGATGTTGTGTCCGCCGAGAACTAAAAAAAAAATAAATATTAAAAATTCTCTTTAATAAAAAAAAAAAAGAAGAATTTAAGATCATCTTCTAAGCATTGAGTACACAACAAACAGAAAGAATGATAAATAAAAAACTATGCCTTCATGGAACTTATTTATTTATTTTTGAGAGAGAGAGAGAGAGAGAGAGAGAGAGAGACAGACACAGAGAGAATGAATGAATATTATATCTTTTTTGTAGCTGGACACAACACAATGCCTTTATTTTTATGTGGTGCTGAGAATCGAAAGGGGTCGTGCCCATGCTAGGCCAGTGCTCTACCGCTGAGCCACAATCCCAGCCCAAATTTATTTTTTTTTAAAGTAGCTTAAGGACACTTTGTTTTTACAAACATGTCTTATGTTAGCATCAATAAGGAATCCCCTACAATTCACCTAGTAAATGTCCAGTCTTTTCTAAGCACAAAGATTTATGAAACATTAGTAGCAGTTTCCAATGACCAGCTTTTCTCTCCTTTTATTAAGACCAACATGGTCTACTTTACAAGATTAATCAAAATAACTGACATCCATACAATCTTGACAGACCATGACAGTGGGTTGTAGGAAGCTCATTTAATAGCCCAGGATTCAAATTGCTGAGGCATCAAACAGTTTTTGCTTAAAAAACAAACTTCAAATCTCTCCAGAATCTGTGGATCTCAAGTCATTCAATAACCTGAATTGTGTAATGTGAAAATATTGCATTCTCCCCCACCTCCAAAAAAAGTACAATTTAGTACAAAGATCACAAAAACTGGCTCAAAAAGGTAACTTTTGGAAACAAAGTCTAAATTCCTTTAAACAATTCAATAATTTAGTGGAAATTTTACTAAAGTAGCCTGCAGTTCTTAGCTAACCTTTCTTCTTTTTCTTTTTCTTTTTTTTTTTTTTTTTGCCTTGCTGTTCTCCAAGCTAGGAATATAGAAGCCCCAGAACATCCTAACTATCCTTAACCACTCTCATGGTTCTAATATCTCAGAATGCAAAATTCCTTTAATTTTCAGCAATCTACATGTATGAGATGCTGGCAAGTTACAAGGAGGTGGAATCTTTCAGTTGAAACAATCTAAAATCATCTTAAGAGGTTTATAGACAACTTTACTCCAGCCTGAGCTTCTGGATACGCCTACCCAAGTTAAGAGTGATGGAGGATAAGAGCAGCAATGTAAGTTCCAGATTAGGCTTTTCCATCTCAATATGATCAATGGAAATTATCTTAAAGGTTTACCTTTCCCCGAAGTTTTTTTGGGGGGTAAGGGGTTGGCTACCTACCATGTCTTGGTGAAAAGATAACTCCTATCCAAATTAAACCTAAAGGAATGTTCATTAAATTATTGTCCAAGTCATAAAACAGACTGTGGCATACAAGACTGCCTTGAAATTGGAAACACATTCATAAATTCTTTTGAATATAACTTTCTTTACAACTTCCAAGATCTACAAATTCCCAGGGCTAACAATTTTGGAAACTTAACAGCTCCACTCATAAAAATCTCCCAAACATAATTCCAGCACCAAAAAGTCACTGGATTAGAGATACACTGCAGCTTGATTTTTTGGTAACTAAGGACTTAGAAGAGCCCTCTCAAAAAACATTTCCGATTCTTACAAGGCACAGAGTACAAGACGTCACTTGTAACAACATATAAACACAAAAATGAACCCAAGAACCAAGACGATAAACCTCACCAGGTTGCATAAAACATAAACAATAAGCAAGCAGATTAAAACAACAATTCAAAAACAAAGCGTTTTCTTCAGTAAAAGGGAGGTCAGCCACTCAGCAGAAGCACATGACTCATCCATGGGCCTGAACATAAGTATTTACACCGTCCACTACACCCAAAGTGGGATTTCCCATCTTCATCCAAGGCCGAGCTTTGGGGGCATCACAGGAGAACGAAGTTGTGCTATTTCCGTGTGTGCGCGCGTGTAGGGTGGATCATTTTATTTCGCTGAATCACAACTCCCCCATATTCCCACCCCAAACCAGCACACACACATACAACACCTCAAATAGGAGGCCATGGCAAGGACGCCAGTTAGACCGACCCAACAAAACAAAGCGCCCAGCGAGGGGCTGCCAAGCTGGGGATGGGTGGGTCAGGAGAGCCTGGCTCGCCCAAGTCACCTCTCCCATGCCCTGGGGGTTGTCTTCGGACGGGCGTGAGATGGCAGCCCCCTCCCTCCAGAGGAAACCTGCCTGGTTCTCGACAGAGCCAAGGGTGACGTCTCATAAGGTAAGAATACGGGGCGGGGGCGAGCTGCCCCAGCCCGGGCAGAAGAACCCAGGTGCCGGAAGAGCGCGCCGTACAAAGCCCACGTGAGCGCCAAGGCCCTGAGGCTCCGGAGTGTCTCAGCCTGGTACAGAGGCGCCCGCGGCCACCACGCCGGGGCCGGACTTACCCCGGCCCGGCGCGCCGCGGGCTCCGCGGCGGCCGCTTCCTCCTCCTCCTCCTCCTCACTTGACAAAATGGCGGCGGCAGGAAGTGCCGGGCGCCTCGGCCCGCCCCCCGCCCGCCCCCGGCCGCCCGCCCGCCCCGCCGCGGCGCCCGCGCCCCTCGCCTGCAAGCCTGCCCCTCCGGTCGAACTGAGTCTGGGGCCACAGCGCCAAAGGTGGGACGCCGGCAAGCCACCCGACCACCCCGAAGCCACGGGTGCAGCGGACCTGACCCGGCGAGAGCGGCGCGGGAGGCCCACAGGCCCAAGCCCGCGTAGCCCCAGCCTCCCCGCCCCCGCGCCGCGCCGATGGCGTAGGTGGTGGCGCACCGGCCCCATTACGCAATGCAGGTTACGCGGGACGCGCCGCGGACCCCCGCTGCCCGCCCTGCGCGCCCGTCGCCCCGAAGGGCACCGGTCCTTACCTGAGACTCTAGGCCGCACGCCGCCCCCGCCGGCCGTCCGCTGCCGCCGCCCCCTCTCTCCTGGGCTGCCTGCGCGGCGCCGGGGCCCGCCCGCCGCGCCCGCCGCTCCGCTGCACTCACAGGCCCAGCTCGCCCGCAGGCACCGCCGGCAGCTGCCGCCGCCGCCGCCGCTGCCGCCACTGCTACTGCTTCGGCTCCTCGGCTGCGGAGAGCAGAACAAACAGCCCTGCCGCCGCCGCCGCCGCCGCCGCCGCCAGCGCACTGACGTCACCGCGCACGTTGCGCGCGCGATCACGTGCTGTCGCCGCCGCCCTGCGTGCGCGCTCTGTCCCGGCGCGGGAGCGAGCAAGCTGCGCAGAGGTAACTCCGGAGGTGGAGAGAGTGCAGGGATCCGACGCGCAGGATTTGAGGTAATCTCTCCGGCTGCTGGAAGGGACCCAGAAGATCTAATGAGGGCGATCCCTCAGACAGAGAGAGGGGTCCCCGCAGACTGAGAAAAGGGCCCCACAGACCTTGCAGACTAGAGAGGGAGCCCCGCAGACCGAGGGAGGGAGCTGAGGGAGACCCACGACTGGAGGCTGCGCCTGAAAGAAAAGATCTGAAGATTGAGACAGGCCTCCAAAATTTTACGGAGGATATTGATGATAGACCCTCAGAGAGAGGGAGGACGACGCGGAGATCCCGAGGACAGATGGAAGGGACCGGGAAGAGACTCCTGTCTGAGGGAGGCCGCCTGAGTGAAAGCTGAGCCGGAGACGGTGGTGCCGGGATGAAGGCGAGAGCTACGGTGGGGGCGCTGGGGTTGAGGTGAAGTGAAGGAAAGGAGGTAAGACAAGGCTGTCACCAGGCGGAGACGGCACCTTTCTTAGCTAGGATCTGAAGATCGAAAAGCGCTGGTCTCCGAGCCCAGGGCACTCTCATCCTTAAGATTCAACCCATAAGTCAACTCCTTCCAGTATGGGCTTAGTCTAGATGTGTGACCCCTGGACAATCACAGACGCCTTCTGGGGCTTACAAAGAAAACATCGACCCAAAGCACAGAAAGGCTTTTGGGATCTGTAAAGGGAGGCTAGGTTTAGGTCTTTTGCAACTTAATAAATTTCTCAAACCTGGAAACAACCACCGCCTCTCCCGCATTTGCCTTTATCTTCACTCTCGTCATTTTTAGTCCCATCTTTTAAAAAATAGATGGGGTTGTAGCTTCATAGTAAAACGCTCGCCCAGCAAGCACACCCCCCAGCACCACCAAAAGAGAGAGAGCGGGGAGAAGAAGGAAAGAAAAGAAAGCAAACTTAACTCCACTCGAAAAATTCTAGCAGGCCACTGAGGTGGCGCATCCCGTTTATCCCAGCAATTTATTTATAACCCCAGCAACTGGGGAGGCTGCAGCAGGAGGATGGAAAGGCCAGCCTCAGCAGTTTAGCTAGAACCTAAGCAAATTAGTGGGATCCTGTCTCAAACACTAAGTAAAGGGAAGGGGGTGTGGCTCAGTAAAGCACCACTGGGTTCAATTCCCAGGTCAAAAGTTTTTTAAAATAAAGTAAAAAAATTCTAGGTAGTAAAGATTTTCCTCGTGACTTGTTATTTTAGAATACATTGATATATGGGCTGGGGATGTGGCTCAAGCGGTAGCGCGCTCGCCTGGCATGCGTGCGGCCCGGGTTCGATCCCCAGCACCACATACAAAACAAAGATGTTGTGTCCGCCGATAACTAAAAAATAAATATTAAAGTTCTCTCTCTCTCTCCCTCTCTCACTCTTTAAAAAAAAAAAACAGAATACATTGATATGACTGGATAACATTAAAATGAATTGCTTTTTGCTGGGCATGCTGTCACATCCTAATGCCTGAATAAACTAAGACAGGAGAATGCACGGTTGAGGCCAGCCTGGGCGATTTACCAAGATCCTGTCTTTTTTTTTTTTTTTAATTTGTAGATTTTTTTTTTTTTTTTTTTAAAGAGAGAGTGAGAGAGAGAATCTTTTAATATTTACTTTTTAGTTTTCGGCGGACACAACATCTTTGTACTTGGTGCTGAGGATCGAACCTGGGCCGCAGGCATGCCAGGCGAACGTGCTACCACGGGACCACATCCCCAGCCCAAGATTCTGTCTTAAAATAAAAAATAAAAAAAGAGTTGGATGTGTCCTCATTACCAACAATTTTTTAAAAAAATTATACACACACACACACACACATATATAACTTTCTACTGTGTTATTTGTTCATGATTAACCAAGGGCAATCATAAGTTAATGATGAGTTCTAAGAAGCAAACTAAAAACTAAATTTCACCTTTTATTTATTTATTTATTGTGTGTGTGTGTGTGTGGTAATGAAGATGAAACCCAGGGCCTCTCAAATGCTCGGCAGATTCTGTACCACTAATCCCCAGCCTTTTTTATTTTATTTTGATCACATATTACACTTGATCTTAGCCAAAAGGCCAAGAAGCAATTTTTATTTTGAGACAGGTCTTCTAAATTGCCCAGGCTGGCCTCAGAATCCTGCCTCAGCCTTTCAAGTAGCTGGAATTATAGGCATGTACCCACTGTGCTAAACTTACTCTTCATTTTAACAAAGCATGAGATAAATAATTAATTGCACAAACTAAAGGTGTTAATTGTAACTGATTCCTCAAAGCTTCCTTCTAATTTGTGTTGCAGAGTATTGAAATTTGTGAATATCTTCTGGCTCCTGATTTTGCCCACTCAGCAATTTGTGGAAGATGATCAGAAGAAAAACACATAGGAATGTACATATGGTTATGTAAATATGAAATAACAACTAGTTTGTTGTTAAAGAAACAGGAATGTATCCATTTTAGGTTGCCCTTTCCCTTCGTTGTCTTGCATTATCTATTTAATTTATTATTGTTATAGACAAAAGATATATTTGGAAGTAATTGGGAACTGCCAGATTGAAAGTCCCATAGTAAAATCTGTCATTTTTTATGAATACTTAGAGGAAAATAGAAGATACATTAGCCAGTTATTATATAAAGAAATAAAACAAGAACTGGGCATGGTGTCCATGCCTGTAATCCCAGCAACTCCAGAGGCTGAGGCAGGAGAATCATGAGTTGAAAGCCAGCTCTCAGCAGGTTAGCGAGGCACTTAGCAACTCAGCAAGACCCTGTCTCTTAAAATATAAAAAAGGCTTAGCTGGGGATATGGCTCACTGGTTAAGCACCCCAGGTTCAATCCCTGGTACCAAAAAGAAAAAACAAAAAGAGAAATATAACAAGCTGGGTGCCTTGGCACATACCTGCAATCCCAGCATCTTAGAAGGCTAAGGAGGGAGGATCACAAATTCAAAGCCAGCCTCAGCAACGATGAGGTGCTAAGCAACTCAGTGAGACCCTGTCTCTAAATAAAATACAAAATAGGGTTGGGGATGAGGCTCAGTGCTCGAGTGCCCCTGAGTTCAATCTGTGGTACCTAAAAAGAAAAAAAAGAACTACAACAAGCCAGGTGTGTTGGCACAAAATTTGAGGTCAACATAGGCAGTTTAGTGAGATCTGTTGCAAAATAAAAATTAAAAATACTGGGGATATGGCTCAGTAGAGTGTCCCTGAGTTCAATCCCCAGTACAGGAAGGAAGGAAGGAAACAAGTAAATAGTAAGTTCTTTCAAGTAGATATTTCTTTATTATCATATGGAAAATACTCTGCAATTTTAATTTGTGGATTTTTTTTTCTTTCTTTTTTATGGTGGTACTCGAATTAAACCCAGGGCCTTACAAGGACACTTAGCTATATTCTCAGCCCTTTTCATTTTTAATTAAAAAAAATTGTAGTTGTATACAGACAGAATGCCTTTAGTTCATTTGTTTATTTATATGTAATGGTAAAGCTCAAATCCAGGGCCTCACATGTGCTAGGCAAATGCTGTGCCACTGAGCAAAACCCCAGCCCTTTAATTTTTTTTTTTTAAGAGAGAGAGAGAGAAGGGGGGAGAGAATTTTTTAATATCCATTTTTTAGTTTTCAGCAGACACAACATCTTTGTTTGTATGTGGTGCTGAGGATCGAACCCGGGCCACACGCATGCCAGGCAAGCGAGCTACCGCTTGAGCCACATCCCCAGTCCCAAGCCCTTTAATTTTTAATTTTGAGATACAGTCTTGATAAGTTGTCCAAGCTAGCCTTGAACTGGTGATCCTTCCTCCTTAGCTCCCTGAGTAGTTAGGATTATAGGGATGTACCATGAGACCCAGCAGTAGACCTTTTTTAGTCATTTTAAGTTTATATAAAATTTGGGCAGGGGCTGGGGCTCAGCAGTAGAGTGCTTGCCTGGCACATGTGAGGCACTGGGTTCAATCCTCAGCACTGCATAAAAATAAATAAATAAAAGTATTTTGTCTTTTTAAAAAAGTATGCTTCAGCATAAAGCATTACTATTGTACTTGCACAAACAGGCACATATTGGTCCTAAGGATCATTTTAGTCTCTGCTATTTTATTATTAATCTGTATTTTGCTGTGTTTTTACTTAGTACGTTTAAATTTTCTTTTTCTTTCTTTTTTTAGTACAGGGGATTTAACCCAATGGTGCATAACCACTGAGCCACATTCCCCCATCCACAGCCCTTTTTATTTTTTGTTTTGAGACAGGATCTTGCTAACTTAGGACCTTACTATGTTGCTGAAGCCAGCCTTGAACTCGTGATACTCTTGCTTCAGCCTCCCAAATCTAAGATTTACAGGCATGAGCCACTATGCCTGACAAATAAATTTTTCAAAGTTTCAAAATATAAAGAAAATGCAGAGGTTGTACATAAGCTAAAAGTCATTAGACCAGATGCAGTGATACATGTCTGTAATTTCAGGTACTTAGGAGCCTGAGGCAGGAGAAGCACAAGTTTGAGACCAGTCTCAAAGTAAAATATAAAATAGAGCAGGGAATGTAGCTTAGTGGTAAAATGCCCCTGGGTTCAATCCCCAGCACCACAATAAAAATATAAAATAGGCTGGACACAGTGGCACACACCTGTAATCCCAGTGATTTGGGAGGCTTGAAGGATTATCACAAGTTCAAGGCCAGACTCAACAATTCAGTGACACCCTGTCTCAATATTTATATATATGCATGTGTGTGTGTGTGTATTCTTTTTTTTTTTTTTTTTTTTAATTTTTAGGAAGAAGAAGTCTGAAGGTCAAACAAGGAATGACAGTGGATATTTGGTTCACAGTCTTTGTTTTTTTATTGTTGTTTGTTTGTTTTTGTGGTACTGAGGATTGAACCCAGGGCCTCATACATGCTATGTTTGACTAAAATCTAACACTTTGACTTTATCTGATGAAACTGAAGCTTCATTGAACCATATGACCCAGTATTTCTATTTCACAGAAACTTGCTGACACACTTTAGGAAGTTTAAAAAAGGTTTGGGCCGGGCACGGTGGCACACTCCTGTAATCCCAGTGGACCCGGAGGCTAAGACAGGAGGATGGCAAGTTCCAAGCCAGCCTCAGCAATGGTGAGGCACTAAGCAACTCAGTGAGACCCTGTCTCTAAATAAAATACAAAATAGGGCTGGGGATGTGGCTCGGTGGTCAAGTGCCCCTGAGTTCAATCCCTAGTACCAAAAAAAAGGGGGGGGGGTTGGAATGGTGCTGTTCCTAAGAGTTCACACAAAAGTTAACCCAAATGTCCATTTATGGTAGCATAAATAAACAGTAATGTAATGCAACTGAATACACCACAGGCACATATGGCAACATGAGTGATTTTTATGAACATAAGGGGAAGCCAAAGAAATGGGCACATGTGCATATATGATGGCTTAATAATTGTGTAGGTGTCAAAAACAGACAGGCTGAATAAACTATAAAAACAAACAAGTAATTATCCCTGGTTAGCTGAGGGAATGATCAGGAAAGGATGGGCAGGGAGGAGATGTTGGTTTTCTGAGATTTAGCAATGTTCTATTTCTCCTCTCTTTTATGAATTTGTTTTCCAAATTAAAGACTCAGCTGGGCGTGGTGACACACACCTATGATCCCAGGGGCTCAGGAGGCTGAGGCAGGAGGATCAAAGCCAGCCTCAGCAACTTAGCAAAACCTGTCTCAAAATAAAAGATAAAATGGGCTGGGGATATTGCTCAGTGGTTAAGCAACCCTGGGTTCAATCCTCAGTACCAAAAGCAAACAAACAAAAAAACCCAAATCAAAGACTTAGCATAGCCCTGCTGACTTGTTCCCTGCTGTGTCCTGCTCCTACAATGCACACACATTAGGAAAAAAACACATAATGTGAAGTCTATCCTTATAACCAATTTTTTTGGGGGAGGGTACTGAGGATTCATACACTCTAAGCACATGCTTTATCATTGAGCCACAACCCCAGCCCACTATGGACAGATTTTTAAGTGTATAGTGCAGTATTGTTAATTATAAGCACAATGTTGTACAATAAATCTCTACAACTTTTTCATCTTGTGTGACTCAAAATTATCGTTTTCTGCGTATGCATTAGGTTTGTAGTCATATACTATACCTATGGTTTATGCATATGTCCTTGTGTGATATTTGAGTTATTTTCAATCTTTATTGTTTTGGAAAGGGGTTAATGGGGATTGAACTCAGGGTTCTCTACCACTAAATTATATCCCCATCCCTTATTATTATTATTAATTTTTATTTTGAAACAGTGTCTTGCTAAGTTTCTGAGTGTCTCAATGAGTTATAGAAACCAGCCTCAAACTTGCAATCCTCCTGCCTCAGCCTCCCCAGTTGCTGGGATTACAGGTGTGTACTACCATGTCTGGCTCAAAATTTTGAGGAGGGGAGAGAGAGAGAGAGAAGCATGAATCAATCTATGAGGAAAATTGCAAGTGAAGTGAATAGAAAAATTAATGATGGGCTAGGGTTGTAGCTCTGAGGTAGAGCGCTTGCCTCAAATGCGTGAAGCACTGGGTTCAATCCTTAGCATCACATAAAAATAAAATAAAGGTATTATGTCCACCTACAACTAAAAAATAAATGGAAAAAAAAGTTAATGATGAAGTTGAAATGCACAAACTTCTGAATGTGTGGCCAGGAAACAAACAGATTTGAAAGAGACCTCAGTTAAGGCTCATGGTGAAAGCTGGCAATTGAAAGTTTAAAGACTAAGCAAGGTACTACTAAAATTTTGGGCACAAGGCTGGGGTTTTAGCTCAGTGACCGAGCATTTGCCTAGCATGAGCAAGGCTGTGGGTTCCATCACTAGCACAATAAATAAATAAACAAAATTTTGGTTTTGAGCTTCTGGTGATCCCTTAAGTTCAAGGCCAGAATGTGTGGCAGTGGGTTAAGTAAGACTGCTTTGGGTGTTGAAGTAATTCTTTGGTATTTGCTGAGCAGGAAAGAGGAAAGTTTGTTTGTTTTGTTTTGTTTTGCAGTACTAAGAATTTTGAACCCAGGGACACTCGGCCACAGAGCTATACCCCAGTCCTTTTAATTTTTTAGTGTATCTTATTTACTAATTTGCCAAGGCAGGCTGGAACTTGGGATTCTCCTGTCTCAGTTTCCTGAGTCAACTGGGATTACAAGTGTGTGCCACTGTGTCCGGCTAGGGAAGGGTTCCATGTCTTGGCAGATTTTCACTGTTGATGAAGCCAGCCTATTTTGGAGAAGGATACCTGATAATGTATTTTAACAGGAAACCCATGGGAAGGACTATTCTAAAAATTTGTAGGAATAGCATCCCCCCCCCCTTAGCTTAAGTACATAACAGGAGGGAAAGCTTAAGTCTTTTCTTGTCCCTTTTATCTTTCCAGAAAAATGAACTGATCAATCTAGATTTATACAAACATTGTGTGGTAGGTAAATTTCAAAGGGTTCCCAGTGATCCCTGCTCCAAGTGTCAGGCCCTTGTATAATCTCTTTCCCTTGTATGTGACTTGCTTCTAAAAAATAAGAGTATGGCAAAAAGTGAGTAAAAGAGAGTAAATTTCCCCACTAAGTGACTAAATCCTTGACATACATCTAACTCAGCTTTCATATTTTGTGGGGAAGGGATCCTGGGGATTGAACCCACGGGGAATTTACCACGGAGCTATATCATATGTCCAGGCCTTCTTACTTTTTGAGACAGGGTCTAAATTGCTGAAGATCTTGCTAAATTGCTGAGGGTGGCCTCAAACTAGCAATCCTCCTGCCTCGGCCTTCTGAGTCACTGGGATTACAGGTATGCACCACCAGGCATGCTAGGCAGCTTACACTTTCTGACAAAGCAAACTGCCATGCACGAGAGACCCATGTGCCAAGGAACCGGGGATGGTTTCTAGCCAAAAGCCAACAAGAAGCTGAAGTCTTCAGCTGCAGGAGCTTACTTCTGCCAACCAACTCTGGAAAAAGACTGTTCCATAATAAGCCTTTTCCTTCCTTCCTTTCTCTCTCCCTCCCTTCCTATTGTGGATCAAATTCAAAGCCTCATTTAATGCCAGGCAAACACTGTACCACTGAACTACAACCCTGGATCTTTTTAATTTTATTTTGAGACAGGGTCTTCCTAAGATGCCCATGCCGGGCTCAAACTTGGATCCTCCTGCCTCAGTCTCCTAAATAGCTGGAATTATAGTGTACCACCCTGTCCAACACAACTGAATCTTTAAATGAAACCCATCCTTGACCAACCTTTGATTGCAAGTTAAGGGCCCAGTTAAGCTCACTTTGATTCCTCATCCATAGGTACTGAGAAATAATAAATATGTGTTGTCTTAAACTACTAACTTTTTGAATAAATTGCTAGATGGCAATGGAAAACTAACAACATACATCCAGGGACCAAATATCACCTTTTCTTAGTAAAGACATATTTCAACATTAGTGAGATTGATAAATAACAGCAGGCAAATTCTTCCTTCTCCCTTCTCCCCTTAGTTTCCTCTGTTTTTGTCTCCTTTTTTTCTTTCTTGGTGCTGTGGATTAAACCCAGGGCTGCATTTTTCAGCCCATTTTCTATTTTGAGACAGGGTCTCACAAAATTGCTTAGGGCCTTGCTAAGTTTCTGAGGCTGGCTTTGAACTTGGGATCATTCTGCCTCAGCCTCCTGAGTCACTGGAATTATAGGTATGTGCCACCCCACTCAGCTTATTTTTTGTCATTCTTGAGCTAGACGAAGGGTTATTTTGAACACTTAGGAAGACTGAACTGTTATTGAAATAATCAGTACTTTCATTCTCATTGTCCTTCAATGGGGGAGAAATTAGGAACTGAAGTCTCTTTAAGGAGAAAACATGTCTCGTTTTGGGCACTAATGCAGTAGAGAATTCTTACATGCACACATTCTGTAACCTTGAAGTTAGTCATTGACCCATGAGGATCTTTTTATTGATTTTTTTAAGGGATCGGGTGTTGAACCCAGGGGTGCTTAACCACTGAGCCACATCCCCAGTCCCCTTTTTTTTTTTTTTTTTTTTTTGGTATTTTATTTAAATACAGGGCCTCACTGAGTTGTTCAGGGCTCTCTAAATTGCTAAGGCTGGCTTTGAATTCTCAATCTTCCTGCCTCAGCCTCCCAAGCCACTAGTATTACAGGCGTGTGCCACCATCCGGGTAAGAATCTCCAGGTGCACTCTACCACTGCCCTTTTCGTTTTCTGAGACAGAATCTCCCTAAGTTACTCAGTGTTGAGAGCCACAGCCAAAGGGGCCCCAGCAAACTTCCAGCTGCCAGCTGATGATTGGCTCACAGTGGCCCCAGCAAACTTCCAGCTGCCAGCTGATTGGCTCCTCTGCGGTGATGCTCATTGGGCTGTTTCCCAGCCCTTTCAGACCATGGAGCTGCTCATTGGGGGACTTTTTTTGGCTCTGCCCATGTGACCCAGCCAATCGGCCTCAAGAGCAGGAGGAGTTGGGAGGTTGAGAGGCTTATGGGAAGCCAGTGGTGGCAGTTGGGCTCTGAGGGAATTCCTGAAGAGCTCCTTTGGTGCTTCGTGTGTTCTAAAAATAAAGTTCATTTCTGTTTTGATAAGTGGCTAGTGAATTGTTCCCAGCCAGGCTGCGGCAACTCAGACTGGCCTTGAACTTGGCATCCTCCTGACTCAGTCTTCTGCCTCAGCCTCCCAAGTCAGTAGGATTACAGGCATGTGCCACCATGCCTGTCTCATGAGGGTTATCTTTGAAGAGGACACTATTTAGCACTTCTTTTAGAGATGATTTCTTGGCAACAAATAAGGAAAGTTTTCCATGCATTCTGAACTCCATATCTCATCCCTCCTTAGTTGTTCCTAAATCCTTGCAGGCATCTGAAAAGCTAAAATCCATAGGTATTTCCCATAGAGTAGGTTCAGGATTAGACTTGAGTGGGTAGCTATTGGCAGGTTACTGAGCAAAGACATGCATACACAGTGATACTTGCATCCACAATGTCTAGGCCCTGCAGGCACTAAAACACCCAACTTATTGACCTGTGACTCATAAACTTGGTACCCATAGAGATAATTATATATTTTATTTATTTGGTGCTGGGGATTGTACCTAAGGCTTCATTCATGCTAATCATGCAGTCTATCATTGAGCTATACCTGCAGCACTTCAGGTTCTTTATTCAAAGTATTCAGTTAAAATTTTACTATTTGCAGGAAAAAAAATGGTCTTCCACATAAATTTAATAGAATTCAGTCAAGAGAAAGATTACTCCTCTGATTTATGATCATCATGTGTGCTGCCTCCTTTTACTACACTCTCTGCCATCACTCCCAGATGATGTTCTACCTCATCTGGGGCCACAAGGAATGGAGCCTGCTGTCTGTGGATTGAGAACTCTGAAACTGTAAGCCTCCAACTAAACTTTTCCTCCTTTACTGCTGTTCTGGTCCAGTCCTCTCATCACAGTGGTGAAAAGGGCGCTCACAATGTGAGATTGCATTGAACCTCAGAGAAGACTTTGGATTTGAACTTTGAGCAAACTTGGAATTGTTGAGACTATGGATGATATTGCCAGTTATCAGTGACGAGTCCTGGAGTCCTGCTTCCCCACATGTTGAAGTTTGAACATTAGAAAAGCATGGCGAGATCATCCTGTGAGCTCCTTCCCTGCACTACACTCTTCTGCCATGATGTCCTGCCTCAGTGTGAGCCCCAAGGAATGGAGCCTACTGTCTTATGAACTGAGACCTATGAAACTGTGAGCCCCCAAATAAACTTTCCCCCTCTGCCAAAAAAAAGATTACTGAGGTTGCAAATATACTTTAAAAAGAAATGCTGCTGGGTTGGGGATGTGGCTCAAGCGGTAATGCGCTCGCCTGGCATGCGTGCGGCCCGGGTTCGATCCTCAGCACCACATACAGACAAAGATGCTGTGTCCGCCAAATACTGAAAAATAAATATTAAAGTTCTCTCTCTCACTCTTTCTTTAAAAAAAAAAAAAAAAAAAAAAGAAATGCTGCTGGTTGCAATAGTGCATTCCTGTAATCCCAGTGACGAGGGCGGGGCGGGGGGTGAGCAGGAGGATTGCAAGTGTGAGGCCAGCCTAAGCAACTTAGGGAGGCCCTAAGCAACTTAGCATTACCCTGTCTCAAAATAAAAAGAAATAAAAATGGGAATTAAGCTCAGTGATAGAGCAACCCTGGGTTCAATTCTCAGTACCCATCCCCCAACACAAAGGAAAAAAGAAAAAGAAATGTTACCTCTGGGCACAGAAGCATTGGCCTGTATTGCCAGCTACTCAGGAGCCTGAGGCAAGAGGAACACCTGAGCCCAGGAGTTTGAGACAAGCCTGAGCAAAACAGAGGTGCTCTGTCTCAAAAGAAAAAAATAAAAAGAAGGTAAGTTATATAATGATGCCAACGTTATAATGAAAGTTCTAGCTACAGCAACAGATAAGAAAAGATAAAAAAGATATCCATATTTCTATCTGCATTCACAGGTGACATGACCCCACAGATAAGAAATCCTAAATACAACATACTCTATTAGAGCCAGTAAACAAATTCAGCAAAGTTGTAGGATACAAGATAAACACACAAAAAATCAGTTGTATTTCTATACACTCAATGAACAATCCAAAAATGAAATTAAGAAAACAATTACATTTTATAGTAGCATCAAAAGAATAAAATTTAAAAATTATAAAAGTTATTCACTGAAAACTAAAAAAATACTATTAAAAGGCCTAAATAGGGCTGGGGATGTGGCTCAAGCGGTAGCGCGCTCGCCTGGCATGCGTGCGGCCCGGGTTCGATCCTCAGCACCACATACCAACAAAAGATGTTGTGTCTGCCGAGAACTAAAAAATAAATATTAAAAATTCTCTCTCTCTCTCTCTCTCTCTCTCTCTCTCCTCTCTCATTCTCTCTTTAAAAAAAAAAAAAAAAGGCCTAAATAAGGGCTGGGGTTGTGGCTCAGCAGTAAAGTGTTCGACAAGTACATGCGAGGCCTTGGGTTCGATCCTAGCACCACATAAAAGTAAACAAAATAAAGGTAGTGTATCCAACGACGACTAAAATTTAAATATTAAAAAAAGGGCCTAACTAAGTGGAGAAATATCTGTGTTCATGAATCGGAAGACTGTAAAGATGGCAGTACTTTCCAAATTGACCCGTAGGCTCCTTTGTAGAAATTGACAAGCTGACCCTAAAATTCATATGGAAACTCAACGAACACAGAATAACTAAAGTGGTCTTGAAAAAGAGAAAGTTGAAGTATTAACACTTCCCCATTTCAAATCTTACCTCAAAGCTACAGTGTTGTATTGACATAAGGATAGGTATATAGAATGATGGAATACAACGGAGAGTCCTGAAATAAACCCATGTTGCTATAGGTCAGCTGACTTGATAAGGGTGCCAAAAACATTCATTAGGAGATTCGTCTCTCCAACAAATGACTTTGGAGCAGGGCTTGGTGCTGGATCCCTGTAATCCCAGCTACTCTGCAGGCTGAGGCAGCAGGATTGTAAATTCAAGGCCAGCATGGACAGTATGGTGAGTCTGTCCTAAAAAGTGGCTAGGAACGCAGCTCAGTGGTAAAGTGCCCCTGGGTTCAACCCCTAGTGACCACCAAATGCCTATAATCCCAGCTACTTGGGAGATTTGAGGCGGACGATCACAAATTAGAAGTCAGTTTGGGCAATTTAGGGAAAGCTTGTCTCTAAGTAAAAAGAGTTAGAGTCTAAGTGGTGGAGCACCTGAGTTCAATTCCCAGTACAACTCACCCCCTAAAAACAAAACAAAACAAAAAAATAGATTATAGATCTAAATGAGAGTTATAAAACTCTTAGAAGAGATAAATCTGATTACCTTTTATTTGCCATTGGTTTAAGATATGACATAAAAAGCACAAGTAACAAATGAAACAATGTGGACAAGTTGTCTTGGCTTGCTCAAAGTTAGTTTTTTGTCTGGGCATAGTGGTGCACACCTGTAATCCCAGCAGCTCGGGAGGCTGAAACAGAAGGATCATGAGTTCAAAACTGGCCCCAGCAATGGTGAGGCTAAGCAACTCAGTGAGACCCTGTCTCTAAATAAAACACAAAATAGGGCTGGGATGTGGCTCAGTGGATGAGTTCAATCCCCAGTACCAGGGGAAAAAATTTGTTTTTTTGCAATACTGAGGATTAAAATTTTTTGTGCCTTGCTTGGGGTAGTGGCAAATGCCTGTAATCCCAGCAATTTGAGAGCCTGAGTCAGGGGGACTGCAAATTCAAGGCCATCTTGGGCACATTCGGGAGAAACTGTCTTTAAAAACAAGGGTGTGGGGGTGCTGGGGTTGTATAGCTCAATGGGAGAGCACACCTGGGTTTAATCCCCAGTACCAAAAAAAAAAAAAAAAAAAAAACCCACAAATAAAACCTTTTTGAGCCTCAAAGGGCACTATCAAAAGAGGAAACAATCCATGGGATGGGATGATATTTGCAAATAATGTCTCATAAGTTTTATATAAATACTTTCTGTAACTTAAAAAGGTAATCCAATTTAAAAATGGAAGCTGGGCATAGTGGTATATACCTGTGGTTCCAGCTACTAATCAAGCTGAGGTGGGAGGATTGTTTGAGCCCACAAGTATGAACTCAGTGTAGGCAACATATGCCAGACCAATTTCAAAAAGAAAGGGGAGAAATGGGTGAAAAACTCGAGTAGATTTACAAAGATACACAAGTGGTCAACAAGCACAGAAAGATATGTCCATTATCATGTCATTAGGCAAATGCCAGTCCAAAGCACAAGGAGGGCTAGGTGTGGTGGCACACACTTGTGATCCCAGGAATTTGGGAGGCTGAGGCAAGAAGGTTGCAAAGTTCAAGGTCAGCCTCAGCAATTTAGAGATTATCTCAAAATAAATAAAAAGTGCTGGAGAAGCAGCTCAGTGGTAGAGGGCCCCTGGGTTCAATCCCCAGTACCAAAACCAAACCTCAGTGAGGTGCTGGGGATACAGCGCAGTAGTAGAGGCTTGCTTAGTGTCTGGAGCAAAAAACACAGTGAGGCCAATCCTTCCACCATGATAACTAGAAACGTTTTTAAAAAGGAATAAGTTCTGTCAAGGATGTGGAGAGTTGGGTATGATGGCACACATGCTTAATCCCAGCTACTCTGGAAGCTGAGACAAGAGAATCTCAAATGCAATGCCATTCTCAGCAATTTAGTGAGACCCAGCCTCAAAATTTAAAACAAAAAAAAGGACTGGGGATGTAGCTCAGTGTTGAAACGCCTCTAGGTTCAATCCCCAGTACACAAAGGAAAAAAAAAAAAAAGGCAGAAGTAATTCTTATCAATCTGATGAAAAGATTAAAAATAAGGCATATACATACAATAGAATGTTTTTCAGCCATAAGTGAATTTTTGATAAATGGTATTAACATAGAGGAACTTTTAAAAGCATTATGGTGTATGAAAATAAAAGATCATATATTGATCCCCTTTATATATTGAAGAGATAATCCAGAGACAAAGCAGATTAGTGGTAGTCAGAGGCTGTGGGTGACAAAATGGGTAGTTAACAGGTCTGAGGGTTTCCTTTTAGGATGAGGAAAATGTCTTGGAACTAGACAAAAGCAATGGTTGTACAACATTGTGAATGTGCCAAATGCCACCAGATTGTTTGTTTGAAAAATGGTAATAAGGAACTGGGGTTGTGGTTCAGTGGTAGAATGCTTGCCTGGCATGTGTAAAGCACTGCATATAAATGATAAAGATCCATTGACAACTTAAAAATATATATATGGTAATGAACCAGGCATGGTGGTACACACCTGTAACCCCAGTTAGTAAGGCACTGTCACCAAAAAAGAAAAAAAAAAGCTTCTGAGAACAAGCTCAATCTGCAGTTAGGCCATATCTATGTAGCAGTAAGGAATGATGTGCAGAAACGACTCATGAGGCACCTTTTTACTGGCTATCGAGCTGTTCATTTCTGCATTTGGTCAATATTGACTTTCTCATTAATGTTCATCTTGTCTCTCCAATAAAGCTCCTTGAGTTTAGAATTGTCATCATGAATTAGTACCAGGTATACATACAGTAGATAGCTCACCAAAGATTTAACTGCCTTATTTAAAATAATTCCCAACTGGCTAGTGTTTCTCAACATGTATCCATTAATAGGTTTATAAGGAAACAGACCCGTTAATATAATTTTAAAAGGGAAAGACTGTCCACTTCTTCTGATTACATGAAACTATAATTTGTGTATACTATCTTCAGCACAGCTAGCCTCTGTTTCTTTCAGATTCACAACCTCCAAAGTATTATTTTTATTACTGGGGAATAGACCTTGGGGGGGCTTTACCACTGGATTACATTTTCAGTCTTTTTTGAGGCAGGGTCTAAGCTGCTAAGGCTGGCCTGGAAGCCTCCTGCCTCAGCCTCTCAAATCACTGGGATTATAGGCGTGCACCATCGGGCCTGGTAGAACTCGATTACCCAAATGAAATATTTATCTTTGTTTCTGGGATTAAACCCAAGGTCTTGCACATGCTAGGGAAGGATGATATACCAAGGACTGTAGTCCTACTGCTGCTGGCTTTTTTTTTTTTTTTTTTGGTATTGTGAAGTGAACCCAGGGGCGCTTTATCAGAGATACATCCCCAGCCCTTTTTATTGTTTGAGAATCTTGCCAAGTTGCTAAGACTGGCTTCAAACTTGCAATCCCCCTGCTTCAGCCTCCTGGGTCCCAGGT